TTTCTCATTTGAGAAGAAGGCATTACACATGTTACGTGAGTTGCAGCAAATAAATTTTCAATCAATTTTTCAAATGACCATTTAAATGAATAGGAAAACTTTTTGTTTGATAGGAATGTGTGCAAGTGTAGTGTAAAGAGTTGAAAAGTCAAAACTGTCAACCGAATAAAAGGACCATCAAAATCACGTAATTTATCTAAAACATTAAAGGATGTTTTACACTCAAAAACTATTTATTTCCACTATTAACATATGTTTTATTACAAAAGTGAATGCTATGTTATTTGAAAGTAGTTAGGGAACTAGCTATATATATATATAATGTAAAGCTCTGAAATATCAGTAATAGAACACTACTAGATACTGAGATGAAGCTATATTTTACGGTTTGTTTTGTGTAGTTTAGGTAACCAATAAATAGTAGGGACCATTAAATAACCAGAATAGTCTTTAAGCTTAGATTTGGTAATGATATGATTGTTAACTATATGACTCTATGTGGAGTGTACGGATCTGAATGTAGAAGAATTAATAATTTCCTACTTGAGAACTTCCGTGTAGTATTTACGTCATACCACCACTTCCATATTGCTGACTGCTTTGTCGGCTGATACGAACACAAATCGCTTTGCGGGTGCTTGAAGTTAGTTTCTTATTCTAGAAGTCAAGAGATTTTCATCAGATTTTCAACATTTACAATAATGTTTATAATAGGATCGAAGAACGTTTAAAATTAAATGATCTGACGACACTGTTGCCAATCTAGTTAAGATAGAGGACGATATTATAGTTAATTTCTCAAAATATTTTTAACCTGTCGGACTTGAACGATGTGTTGAAGTCCCCCGTAAAAACATGTCCTTAGGAATCATATCTAAAATGCGATGATGTAATTGATATATAATCAAAAATCAAACTATTGTAAAAGTAACTTTATCTGAATTATCTGCCCTCACATTTGAGTTGCCTCCCCTTATGTGGCAAAGTTGGAAAAAAATGAATCAAACAAAAGTATTCTGTTTTTTTTGTAAAATACAACCATAAATATAATAAAACATGTCATTTTCTATATTGAATTAAAAATTCTTACACGTGAATTACCTATTACTCTCAAAATTTGCACATTTTATTAAAGATCTAGACCGATTGTTTTCTGGTATTTCAAAATCCAAGATGGAGGAAGACACCCTATCTACCTTAATTCGTTGATTTCGATTGATACGTTTGCCATAATACATATAATTACGTTGTCTTGAATCAACAAAATGAAAGATTTTACTGATTAGAAAAAAGATAATCTGTTATTCCTATCTAAACAGGGGAATGCCGAGAATAAATGAAATGCATTTAGTGAATCAAAACCAGTTCTTTCGAAAATTATGTTTTCAATTTCGTATCGAAGCTGTGAACATTCCATTTAAACGAGAAATCGTTACGTTAGTATTTATTTTTTTGCTGTACACAGAAACGTATGATTACTGTTTTTTAATGTGTCTGGGTATGGCATAAGAGTACACAAACTATGTTCTTGTTTAGCCTGGCACGGTGTTGATTGTAATGCTGCTAGATTTGCTTTGCACTTTTTTATTCTGATGTTTTATCTAGTGATCTTAATTTTTAGGTCAGGGTATAGGTAATAGTATTCCAAATAGCAAATCTTGTCAAATACTACATTAACGAGGTTGCAGCTGAAGGTAAACTGCCAAAATGGCAAGATCTAAAGTCCTACTACAAATAAAATTGAGAATGAAAATGGGGAATGTGTCAAAGAGACAACAACCCGACCAAAGCAGAAAATAACCGAAGGTAACCAATGGGTCTTCAACATAGCGAGAAAATTTCGCATCTTAAGGCGGGCTTCAGCTGGCCCCTAAGCATAAAATGTGTACTAGTTCAGTGAAAAGCAAAAACGATTTGCAGAGATCACAGAATAGCAGCAGGCTCTGGCAATGTTAAGAAAAACCAGAAAATTGTCTGAGGGGAATGTATAAATGTATGCAGAAAGGTTGCTAGGCATAGCAGAGGATGCATATCCCCCTATCCAGGCCGACGGTAATACCCATGCACGTATTCTTAAAGAAAAGGAGGGTACATTTGCGACGGCTTATACTACGACTTCCTACGAATAGAGGTTGTGAGGGAAGTACCTAAGACATTTGAGGCAGCAAATTGAGTGCAATGAAAGAACAAAATTTAATCAAACGTTTTCGAGATAGATCAGATTCTGAATTTGGCAAATTTAAACTAAAATTCCCAGATAAGAATATTTCGAAGGTGCAGATACAAATCGAAGAAAAAGAGAGACTCACCGGCCCAGGTTTGTAACGTGAATTCGGATGAAGAAGAAAGATTGAGCTAAAAAAATATATACGACCCCAAAAACCTTTATAGAAATCTGTCAGCCGCAACAAAGGCAACGCTTTAAGAAATCAGTAGTCCAAGTTTATTATTTACTTTTTAGGAATAAAGAAAGCGCATTACCCCTTCGACTTGTGTATAAATTAAATTATTTCTTTAAAAACATGAAATGTCCCTATTTTTTTTTTTCGATCAACTTCACAGTTTTATAGAATATAAAACTCACCTCCTTTGAAGCCACGTATCTGACGGATGGACATTGGCTTGTATCTTCCGAAGTACAACTTCCTTAAGCGTGTCAAGTGAATCTACGGGGTCCTCAGCGAAGACAATTATGACAAGAGCACCCTTAAATATTGCAAGAATTAGCTAGATATGTACTGCTTATAAATCATTTATAACTTTACTTCCTTATTTTCATAAAGAAATAAATATAACCTTACGGCCGCTGATTCTTCTAAGACCATCTTACAAAAATATTAATTTGGATTGACGACACTTTGAAAAATCATTTACAGCTAAATTCCTTATTCTGATCAAATATAGTTATCATGGAAATAACAAAATTTTGTTGAGATTTCAGTTGAACAACTTTTAAATAAAAAATTAAACGAGAATAATCTGTATTCCAAACCAATTCCTGCAAGCCATAGATACTGGCTTTGTGCATTTGTTACAATAGGTACTTTCATCGCCCTTCTTATCTTTAGGCACAGGATTGCTACGTTTATTGAAAACAGACATCTAAAATATTAAGGTCAGTCAAAAAGAGGAAAGACGACGTAAATCGACGACAAACCAGTCAATAACGAATAAAACAGCCCCAGGAATGGAAATGAAGACTTTTGGCTTTGGAAACATGGTTAAACGGAAATCCAGTCAGCAACTCCAAATGAACTATCTAAAAGAACAATACGGACTTGTACCCGTGGAAGGCGTAATCCGAGAAAGAAGAAAAACATGATTACCTAAGATGGTAGAAAGATACAAAAGATCCTGATCAAATGATGCAAGCAATCATAAGTCCAGGTCACGTGAAGCAGAGACACAGGAACATGTACGACAAGTACTGACGGTACCTGACACTGATCGTGATGATTCCACGAAATTCGATGCAAGAACGGATAAGCAACAAAAGAGGCAAATCATGGTCACACATTTCAGGACGACTTCTGGTAATGATACAACTACACAGCAGGATAACACAATTGGTGAATCTATGGAAGCGCCTTCCATATATCATAGTCTTATGCAAGCATTTCGGATACCCTCATCTCAGGCCGTGGCGAGGCATACAACATACAAGGGATGGATTTAATCCTTGTTGGTCAACCCAACGACATAATCGGTATCCTGATCATAAATGCACAGTTGACCTTAACACAAGCCTTGTCAAGGTCCCAACGACATTTTCAAGATGTGTATACATTACGAACACTTTATAAAAACGCATATTGTGACAATTGTGATTTGATGCCAACGGACAAATACAAGGATATAACCATTTGTTGTTTCTGGTCACCATTAGATGAAGAGATATGTGAACACGAGACTCTTGTGCATGACCTCATTTTAGTATTGTAAATTTTGGGCATGTCTATTCATCATTGTTTATAAATACTGGCCACATAATGATGAGTGCAAAGTGCAATGAAAATTATGACCTTTCCAGATCACAGTTAATTATCCTGGTCAGTTTCTTGTGGATATCTTTTTATTAATTTTTTTTTATTCCGGTCAATTTTCAACAATGAAAAAAATTTTGGTCGTGCAAACGTGGTCCATGTCAGACAATGATTTCTTGGTCACAAAATCAAGCCATAATCAACACGAATACACATTTACATCCACATTGGTAAAAGTTATGCTCGGTAATTAAGGTTTTTGCCAATAATGAACACCATCAGAGAAGCTGAAAAAATAAATTCGAAATCTTGCCTACGGCGACTAGTCATGGTGTAACCAATATTTGAATTAAATCGGTTGTACAAACTTTTTGTTTCGAATCTATTTGAGGAAGATTATTGTAACAATGCGTGTTATGCACATTGGAATAATGTCGAAACCGATGTTCGTAAACCATTAGTCTCCAAAGGTTCCACCCACCTAATAACTAGTGCTTCAGTATTGACAAGATTTTATGACACTTTTCTGTCTGTAAGATTCCAATTAATGAAATCATATAGTTGTGTCACATCTTAGGTTAAACAAAGCTTCGGTAATAAAAATAAGAAGATGTGATATGAGTGCCAATGAGACAACTCTCCATCCGAGTCAAAATGTGTAAAAGGAAACAATTATAGGTCAAAGTAAGGCCTTCAACACGGAGCCATGGCTCACATCGAACAGCAAGCTTTAAAGGGCCCCAAAATCACAATTCAAACAGGAAAACCAACGGTCTAATCTCTATAAAAAACGTGGACGAGAAACACTTTAATTATGAACCACATCAACAAATGGCAACCACTGATCTAGCTCCAGACTTAGAACAGGTGCATACAAATGCAGCGGGTTTAAAAGTTTAAACAGGCGCCAACATTCACCCTTACCTGAAACAGTAGTGTAACATTGCAACATAAAAAGACACACTGTAAAGTAACTCGATCAAAAAGACATATAGACAAAAACAAGTAAACATACACTGAACGAATAAATTTGATCTATGACACAATATTAATACAATATTAATAAAAAAGATTTAAAACAATGTCAAAAAGACAACTCTAACCTGGGAAAAAATGGCGTTAAATAAAAAAATCGCACACAGAAACATTTAAATATGATAATTTTGTTGTTAGGAGTATTGAAATATTTTTTATATTTTACAAAATAAATAAATTTGTTGTTCACAGTTAGAATTGGCTGTTCTATTAGACCCTTCATGCTGTCAAACGGTGTTTAATAAATGACTTTGCTAACTTATTTTCCAGCGTTCCCGAAAACGATTATCACAGACACAGAAATACGTGATGTTCAAACGGAAATATAATATCCTACATTATTTGTACATGTCTATTTTAAATGAATATTGCTTTAATAATACAACTGGACAAATAAGACGTATGCACATAAGCAAGCTGATCTTTCGAATACTTTTTCTCGCATAAGTAATATTTTTCGTTTATCTTGGGCGAATTAGGGGCAAATGCTCAAAAATAAAAACTAGAAATGATACAAACTGAAGCAACAACGACAAATCTGTGCACTTTACGGTTTATTAGTATTGAATATTCTGAGTCAATGTTCGATTTAGTTAGTATACAACATTAATTTACTTCAGCTTGTATATGACAACACTGCGCACTTGAAACATTTACAATAACCAATCAATCTCGTCGAATGTCTTTTTGTACTTCAACCATATGACCGGCATAAAATATCGTGACAATTAAGCTTCTACTTCACAACTAAGATGACCACTTCTATGATGGAGTAAAAATACCCGCATGCGGCCTATAATTAAGAAAATATAAGTACATATTATCTGATAAAGAAAAACGTTAATATTTTGGATTGATTTACACAAATATTACATAGTGCTAGTAAATCATGAACTAGATGTGTTTGTTTGAAGATATTCATTATTAGGATGAAAATATATATATATATGAAAAAAAACGTTGTCTTAAGATTTGAAGTTATGTTGAATGTTAAAGTCTCCCATGCTCACGGGTAGTAACCTCGTCATATCGAGGAGCGTTTAGTACAGTGATTTTGTCATAGTTTGGTTAAGTTAGACATGGTTAATTTATGTTACTTCTATGAACAATTACCTCAGTTCTATTCAACCGAGCAAATAAAAAGCAAATAAGATGTTTGAATCTGTATTGTAAGTCAAATGATCTACATTGGCATTGTTGTTTCAAGAAATTAACGCAGAATAAGCAAGATATCGAAATTGCTATGGTTTGGTTAAGTTATTGACATGGTTCGGTTAAGTGTCTAGAAATTCGTCATGGTTTTGGTCTAGTTTGTCATGGTTTAGATCGAAATTAATATATATTTTGTTTCACCTCAATACTGATAGTTTGTTTGATGGCGCTTGTTATTAAACGAAGTTACACAATGTATCAACTTCCTAAGAAGAAAAAAGCCTTTTTTGCCAAATTTGGTGGGTGTAAACGACAAAGCGTAAATTAAACATTCCAGGTTACTTTTCGCAAGTTTCCTACAATATAATTTAAATAGTCACTGCTCTTTTAAACTAGCTTTTGGTATAATAATACAAAAACAAAAATAGAAAGCTTTGCTTCTGTTTCTCATAGAATCTTTTCTCCGTATGTAACTGCTTGAATCGGCCGGGAATATCGTGAGCGGCACCACTAGTCAAATAGCTAAAGACGTCTACTTAAAAAGTTGCAAAACGTAGCAGCTAGTCAAAAAGTAATTCTTGCTTTTACATTTTTTTTCTAGCGAACTATACATTTATTTGTTTTTGTTTTTTTTAATTTTGAACCAGTCTATAATGAATAAAAGGAGATGTGGGGGTTATATGCCCATGATACAGTAACCCAACTACAAAACCAACCAAATGATATTAAGAGGACAGCATAAGTCTTCAACCATTTACAAAACCGAATTTTAACGCGTGACATGGACAACAGTTAAAACTTATTGGTTTTATAAACTATATGTGAAATTACAATAAAAAGTACTTACAAAGTTCGAATTTGAAATATGAAAGATCACAATTTCGATTTAGAATGAAGCCGACATACTGTTCATGTTTATCAATTATTATTACGAATGAATAAAAAGACTAAGTTTTTGGTAATATTGAATAAATGCATGGTGTAGTATCTCTTAATTCTTTAAAAAATTGCAATAAAGTTTCGATAATATCTGAAAAAGCTCCGGCGATCTAGTATTAAGTATGAAGTGGTACATTATTAAATGTGATTGAAAAAAAAGAATTGAAATGCGTGTTATATTGTCTGGTACATGTACATTTAAACTGTGTACGACCTTATTTTTGACCTGGCTAGACAAGAAATCGTCGTTTGTAGTAGGACAGCTCGCAGAATAAGATGAATGAAGATGAAACAGATAGTAAGTTTGTTTATACAATGTTGATATCACAAGCACACTTCATTTGAACTTCAGAAACTTTCAAATTGTTCCTACAAATTACTTTTTAGAACATTCAATGATATTTATATGCTATCTATATTTGCCTTTTATCAATTTTGCCTATTTCAATATACTAGGTAATATGAAATATAAGGTGAAGAGGAAAATACATTAATGAGACAGCAACCCAAGAACACAAACATGAAGTCTTCAACAATAGAATGAAATATGACAAGCTCTAAATCAGACCGTTTCTATAAAATTGGTGAATTAAATTAAACAGAAACAACCAGAGATCTGCAACCATCACACTATTCTCAATATAGCGTAAAACAGTATGATATGACACAAGACAACTTGTCGCGTCACGAGGTTCCGGACTTTTTTGGATAGTCGCAGCTTAGGAATTCAGTAAATATGTTATTTAAATTAAATGTTTAAACCCTTCCTCTCACTTATGAATGCCTGTTTGGTATCTGTGTTGAAAACTTCATATTTTGTAGTTAATAAATTCTTTTTTATTTGTGAAACTAAAAAGGTCTTGCATAAAACTGGATAACAACGCAGCCAAATTCATTATTGTTGGTTTTGTTATTTAATTTACACGATAAGGCTCCAGATGTTAGACAAATCACTTGAAATGGACTCATTCGATTTTTCAGAGGCAATTGCATCTATTGCTCCTTTAGACGGGTCATTTGAAGCTGTTGATGATACAGATTTAATTGAAGAAACAGTGGTTTCAAAGAATAAAGATGATAACGAGTTAGACGAAAACAATAATGAAAAACAACAGGGTTTGCCACAATCAACTAAAGTTCAGTGCGACATCTGTTCTAAAGTTATTGAAAGAAGATGTCTGCCACGCCACCTGAGAACACACGGGGATCAAATGATTTGTTCTCATTGTCCAGCGAAATTCGCTGATAGATGGGCTTTGAAGGAACATGAAGCACGACATTCAAACCCTTTGATGTGCGAAGTTTGTGGAAAAAAATATACTTCAAGAATCGGCCTAAGTCGTCATTTGAGAGATCATGCTAGTTCACGCCCAATAGAGTGTGATATTTGTCACCAACGGTTTAATGATCATGCACATTTTGAAGGTCATCGCAACAGCAAACACCTGAACTATAAACCATTTAAATGTACGGTATGCAGCAAGGCTTTTGCATATAGACAATCCATGACAAGGCATACCAAAGAATGTCAAGGGAATAAGTCCTACAACTGTACGGAATGTAATGCTGTGTTTAACAGCAAACGTTCACTTGACCAACATCACAATGGAAAACACGGACAGAAAGAGCATACATGTATGTGTGGAAAGTCCTTCCGTTGGGTTCGATCTTTCACAAGACATAGTAAAATATGTAAAACAAATTAATTTCTTAATGACTGAGTATTGAATAAATTTAAAAGTTTTTTTATATATTTATTTCTAGCATTCATAAATTTTGAATGATATATTGTCTCATTTTCAAGGTAATGACATTCTTTAGATATCATAACATGCTCTTTTATGAGGAAGGATTTTTTCTTCATCTTTCCTATGGTATTGACGAACTCCTTGAGCACCATGTGCAAATCCATCATATGGGTACACCATTGCACTTTTACGTTTAGCAGTTGATCTTCGGGGTTGGTCAAACAATGCATGGCTTCTGAAAATAAATAAATGTAGTATTGTTTAATTAATACAATTGGATTCAAATTTATAATATGACTGCGGCAATAAAAGATAACAAAATTAAGAAACAAATATTGAAAGAAATAGTTATCCTTTAAGTATTGTTACATATGCTATTCAATGAAACTACAGTGTAAACTATATATATATATATATATATATATATATCTTGTTATTGCTAGACATAATTAAAAGATGCACGTACAATATATTTATATAAGGACACCATGTTCTGCCAACAATCATTATCAATGGATGCATATCACTAAATGAGAGTTACCGCTGAATTTGTACTTACAATGACCAACATAACGGGTGTTCCTTATAGTGCAGGATCTGCTCGCCCATCAAGAGCGAGCAGCTTAGAGAAACCACAAATCATGATGGAGTTTGTGATGCTATTCACTATTTAATGAGTTATGCTTTCTTGATATCATTAATATATTAAAGTTGGGTAATATTATGAAGATTACAACAGGAGTTTCTGCATTGTTTTTTTTTTCATTGAGAGAAGGGAGGTTATGTCCCGTTACGCAGAATACGAGACATAGGGATTACAATCCGGCGGCGTCGGCGGCGGTGTAAACATTTTGCATGATGCTTTATATTTCAGAGGAAAGAAGTCATGGAGGCTTTATACTTTGTATACTGATGCTTTATTTAACGATATTTCCGTCTGACATATTCATGTCCGTTGTACTTAACCTCATTTTCATAGTTAAGCGACTGCTTGAAAAAAATATTTTTTATGTCATTTGAATTTCTCACTCATTATGAAACAATATTGGTATTAATATATAGTTTTATTACGCTTACTTAAAACCACCAACAGATTGTTTGACCACATCTCTATCATGTACAATTGCTGCTTGTGTTTTTCACCCGGAAGTAGTATCATACTTTTCTGTCTGTTGATTGTAGACTGGACGTTTCGTAGTTGTGTTGAGATAGAAACCCCTATTAAATGAAAGTAACACTAATCATTATTTCAAAATTCAAAGGTTTTGAGCATAACTTCATGTTACTGGTTATGATAAGAACTATGAAATTTGATATGGTATATGTCGTAGTTTCGGGTCCTATAGAAATACTGTTCCATATCTTTGCTGGCTGATGTTTTGAGGTGTTACACCGCTTTTCTAGGTTAAGGGGAGGGTTGAATGCCAACTGATGTTTAATCCCGTCGTATTCTTTATGTACCTGTCTAAAGTCATTGGTTTTGTGGGTTCGCGTCTGATATTTGTTTGTTTTGTAAATTGTTTTGTTATAAATAAGATCGATAATTTTCTCAATTGAAGTTTTTCATAATTTCCATGTCGGGGTCTTTTATAGCCGACTATACGGTATGGGTTTTTTCATTGTTGAAGGCCGCACAGTTGTCTATGATTGTTTACATCCATTTCATTTGAACCTTAGTTGTCTATAATTGTTTACATCCCTTTCATTTGAACCTTGGTGGATACCACATCTCCTTATTTGCATTTTAATTGTTTTTATTAGTAAGTGTCATTTCCGCCAATTCCAAATATCAACTGCTTCTAAAATTCACCTGTTTTGCATTTTTTGTTACAAATAGAAATTTAAAGCATTTACCTGTTTGGATTCATCCTTGTTGTTAAGATTTCACATGCTACACTCATGGCTTTAGGGATTTCAGATGTCTTTAGCACACCAGCGCCTCTTGGGTCCAAGTCTCGAAAAGAGGAGAAGAACGTTTCATTGTCCAAACTTCCAATAGATCTGACATTGTATGTACCTGTTTTTGAAAGACGATAAAGCTGAATAAGCCTTTCACAGCTAGTGATAAGTCCGGTAAACAAAACAACAGGTATGTCACAAACATGACTTCCAGGTGGTGGAAACTGTCTAAGACATTTTTGGCACGAGTCAAGGAGAAATTCTCGCAAATTTAATAGCTTATGTACACGTTCATTCGCTGTTAAGCCTTTTTCATCCACTGCCTCGTACCATTCTCTAATCAAATGGCAAAAATTGGCCTCTAATGCATCATTGTTTTTGTTCATTTCATTCTCAACATCTTTACTAAATGTAAGCTGAGCAACCAAATTGCTTTGAGAATCTACAAGATCTTCCACATAAGCCACGTTCAGTCCTGTCCCATTTGATTTGCTTGACTTAGCTACTTTCAACCATGCACAAGAATTTATATTTAGAGCCTTAAATCCATTTCTACAACAGTGGATTCTGCAGTTTGTAAGTAAATGATGATGGTCTAGAAACCGTAGTAAAATAGTACCATCACTGGATCTTTCTGGAGTTGTAAACCAGTTGTGTTTCGTAACATAACCCATCTCTAGGAGCTCCGAAATATTAATCGGTGAACAGTTTTGCTTCTGCCAACTGTCAAGCTTTAATGGCCATTCAATATGCGAAGTTATCCGGTTTAATGTTTCTTTTCGAACGGACGTAAATTTCTCTCGCAATAGAACTTTTAATGCCTTAGGAGATCTCAGTTTGATAGAGACTGCTACAATTTTAGAGCCAGATACTTTTGCAAAGAAGTTTGTATACATGCATTTGTTGGATTTTGATGAAAGTCCTTGTTTAAGTCCAAATGATTTAATCTCTTGGGTGTTTACTTTCAACATTCCTTGCAGTTCGTCCTTTGTAAAATTCCTGTCTATAGCTGTGGTGTTGTCAAAACAATCAACAAATCCATCTAAGTCTTTCGATTTCCATAATTTCTGACGTTTTGCTTTTGTGTTTTTTGTAAGATACTCTAACATTGTCTGGTAGATATTATTCGAGATATGAGGTATTGTTTCTTCATCGTTGTCATTACACGGTTTGTTCTCAGTGCTTACTTTTTTGATTTTGTATTAGTTTTGAAATTTGAAGCTTTCTCAAATACTTCTCTCCAAACGTTTTGTTCTTCGGAAGAGGATAATTTAAAGTAACATGTATTACAAGTAATTGGACCATGAAGTAAATTTCCATGGATGTCTGTCCAGTAGTTAACAGTTAATTTCCACTTCTCATTTGCATCGTCAAATGTTTTAACAGGACCACCTACATTTCCCAACTGAAGGAACGGGCGCAAAAGTTCGTGAGATGATTTTACACAAGTTTCTTTCCAATGCATTTTCCTCTCCTGTAACTCAGAAAGAGATGATCCATCGTACGAAACTATAGATAACTTAGAAAATTGCCCATCAAATGCCTCTACCTGAACATGAATATTGTATGTCTTTAGTTGTTCGCGTAAGAATTCAAGCATCTGTCTAACAGTGTCCGCTTTCAAATGCTTTGGACTTAACCCATAGGCAACAGGAAATACGTAAGGCTTGTCGATCGCATAGGTCCTATCCAAGTCACTCAACATGAAGACCATTACATCACTTGGTCTATCAAAGCAAAGGGTGAAATGCTGATTGATCAAACACTTTACATCATCTATGCAGCTCTTTATTTCAAAAAGGTCAATCGTGTTAAACGTTTGTTTGTGTTCCGTATTTAGTGAGTGTGAACCATACACTCCATCAGTCTGAGCAGAATCGTGTCTACATTGATTGGCTTTCACAGATTTGAACTCTCCTAAGTATTTCACGTTTTGTTTCAGAAATGTATCTATATATTCTTTTAGTTCTTTCGTTTTCGGTCTTTTTTTGGTAGGTCGTCTGTTGTGTGTTCCATACAGAAATTCTGCCTCTGCACCTATTGCATTATATAAATCTTCATCAAATTTCACAAGAAAAGCAGTCGTTGATTCTTCAGACCACGAAACAAAAATGGATTCCGGAATATGATACCCGTAGCATTCTTTTGAGGCACCCATTTGAGTTATCAGCTGTAATATATAGTAATTTGGAATCGAGTAGCTCACATTAGTTTTCCAATCGGATTTGTATGGACATTTTATTTCGAAAAGAACCCTTTTCATCTGACCTTCATCTCCTTCACCATCTGGACTGGCAACAAGAAAAGGTTTGTCTTCCCTCCATTTAACGTAGCAACCAACTTCTTTAAACTTTATTTTCGGGAAGAGTGATGGTAATATCTTGCCACATATAGTTGCAACTCCGTGTTTTTCATTTTCAATACCGTGTAACATCTGGGGCGTGGGAGACTGTACTCCGTCCTTGTCTTTGTTTAGAATTACAGAATCATAATGTGCTTGCTGCTCCTTAAGTGTGCGTAAACCAAGTGCTGTATGAATTGTACTTGCAGTTACTTTAGCCTGCTTCCGTAGTTCAAACCATTCGTCAGACCGTTGCTGAAGAAATTTGGTACATTGGCGTTTGGTTTCTGTACAATATTCTGATCTTAGACAAAAATAATTTGGTTGGTTATTCATGTCAGCCTCTTTTCCAATCACAAATGATGTTTCTGAATCGTTCATATACGAAAAGTATTTGCAAATTCTATCGTTAACCCTTAGCAAGCCATCAATGCAATCTTTTGTCATTCCTATATTTGTTTTCATGGCACTTATAGCGTATGCGTATTTTGATTTTTTCCAATCGCCAGGGCTCTGTTTTTCCGACTTTTCCATTATTTTGTTCAGATTCGCTTCTTTTCCAACGAGATACAGTCGCAAGACTTTTAATCTTTGACAAAGAATGTCAAAAATTTCAAAAAGTCCCTTCTTCATTTGAGTAAACTGTTCATTACTGTCTCTTAAAATACTGAGACTGTCATATCCCAATGTTATCATTGAGCTTATCTTTTCTTTTAGGCACTGAATAACCTGCATGTCGGCTTCGAGTTCTGTTTCCTTTTCTAATCTGTTAGGTTTATCCTCATACCCCCATAGGTCTACAGGTATGGAATCGCCACCTCTTCCCGAGTTAATTTTTTTCAGGTCAACACATATTTTCCCGCTTTTTGTTGTGACGTCGTCTGTTGTGGAAATAAAAGATATGAATTCCTTTATAATTCCAGGTTGAATTGATTTTGGCAGAACTGTTGGCATGCAAGCCAAGCTTGCCTTACTAGGAACAGCAAAATTTTATTTTGAATCTTCAGGATAAAGATTTCCGCGTTTTGCAATATTTTCCATAACCAAGTTTTGATTACCTAGTCCTCTCATGAAGTTTAAAAATTTTGTATGGAATAACCGAAAACCGATATGCCAGAAATTTTTACTTCTTTCGCTATAACGCATTGCTGAGACGTTAGATTCCGAAAACCAACGGACAACATCTAAAAATAACAAAAAGGCTATGCTCTGCATGGGAAATCTATCTTGTAGTGTCAGATGTATGAAAAGTAAAAAGTTATCTCTTTGACTGTCGTTGTTAGGAATTTTATTCAAAACTGTTGCTAGGTTTATATGATGAGGCTGTTTGCATTCTTCCTGAAAACCTTGATCTTTAACTAAATCATGCTCCATTCTTAAATCGTCATTCTCTGATTTAGAAAACTTTTCAATGGCCTTTTCCGAGCAAACTTCTATAATTTTGATTTTATCATCTCCTGGGCTTATCCATATTTTCTTGTTTTCAGTTTTCAAAATATCTGGAATGATATGATAATGTTTGGAAACATACCCACACACGCCATCTTTAGTTGTTTTTCGTTTTACTGAAAGAAATCGATCTCCATGATTTAGTATGGTGTGTCCTAGAATTGAAAATATGTCCAAATTGTACAGTTCACAATATTGGCAGCAGAATTCCATCCTGAAAATTAAAAAAGTAGCTATCTTGGATTCATGATTTTTTATTAGTTGTTATTGGTTTGAAACTAGGTCCCAGTAAATCCCAGTACTTACAGGTCTGTTTTGTATTTGTGTATTTTGTGTTTATATTACTTGATGTTTTTGCTTTGAACCGATCTGATGAGTCCTTTTCAACTGATTTTGACAGTTTTTTCTTCTTTGATGTACTATTACACGTCTGACATGGTTAAGGCGAAGAAGGGGTTGGGGTGCCCGCAAACATGTTTAACTCCGCGATATTCTCTATATTCTGTCTCATGTTAAGTGTCTGTAATGCAGTGACTATCGTTTGTAACTGTATATCATATTTTGCTTATTGTTTTGCAGAAATCAGGCTGTTGGTTTTCTCATTTGAATTCTTCTACATTTAATTTTGTCGCAGCCTTTTATAACTTGCTAAGAGGTATGTATTTTGCTCATTGTTGAAGGCCTTATGGCGACATATAGTTGCTAGCATCCACGTCATTTGGTCTCGGGTGGATAGTTGTCTCATTTGCAATCATACCGCATCTACGTATTACATATTACTACATTATATATGCGTTCATATGTCCTTTAGTATTTCAAATGAAACGATTTTTTAAAAAAGTAATTCAATATTTGTAAAAAGACTGTTTATTTTGATCGTTACTCTTCATCATACACGACAAGAATAACATAACTGAACCATGTCGAACATGAACTAAACCATGACATGAATGAACCAAACCATGACTCCGAATTTTCAGTAATTTTGAATTGTGTGCAAAAGTAGGTATTTTTCGGAATAATTGACGGGAGTTTTATATCATAAAGAGGTATGTGATGTAACAGACAGTAAGCAAATGACTTTTTTTTATGCACGATAAACCAATAAGCAACTTTTAAATTTTGACATACGCAAGCACTATTCTGTGTAAAATTGTTAACTATATGATACAAATTTTGATGTACTAACATATTAACTATAGACAAAGATACTTACCAGCTTGAATTTATGGTCAGAAGTTCCTTTAACAAAATATCCGAATGTTTACATTTTGGCATTGATTGTCATCAAAAACACTTAACACCGTCATGTCAAACTTAACCAAACTATAACAAAATCACTGTACTAAACGCTCCTCGATATGACGAGGTTACTACCCGTGATGCTACTTCGAGATGAAGATGAAGATGAAGATTTAAAGAGTCTGTAAAAAGATACTGCACGAACATTCACAAATTAAAAACTGTGTTTTTAAGCAAGGCTAGTATTAAGCGGACGTATCATAACAAATTTGAAATCGTAACATATAATAGATGATAATAGAATAGGGTATATGAAACAATACTGTAACAATGATATACTAACAAATAACATATTATCAAATTAATATCATGTTCATTGATGTTTTTCGTACTCCTAATTCGAACAATAGATTTGCTTACAATGTCGTCCGATATTGATTAGATTTATCATTTTTCACAGCAATATCAAAACGGACAATGCGACAGTTTTTATCGATATTTTAAAAGTTTGGCTTCGAAGGAAATATGCAACACTTATTATCTTTTTATTAGGCAATAAGGCATACTAGAGAAATAACGTGTTGGAACAGTATTTCAACATTTTTTTTATATTTTACCACGCGAACCTACAACACCATGACAGAAAACGAAAAGCGGCGAAAAGACAAACAGCAATCTACACAACACTACATGGAAAACTGAGGAACATGAACCCTGACAATTACCAGGGATCTCAGGTTTAAAAGTTTACTGGCCTTGACAAGAATAGATAGATTTAGAATTCTAGAAAATTTCTTTTCCGAAAAATTCTATTAAGACTTTGATAGTCATACATTTTCACCTGCTAATAAGCAAACCACAAGATCATTTTAAAACACTAACTGAAATTTAAATGGAGTACAATAGACATAAAAAAGAGTGTTTTTCAATACTACTATATGTAATTGCCATTTATAAAGGACTTTCGGTGTATTGTTTCTATTGTACAAGCAAATACTTTATAGCAGGATAACAAAATAGTTTTACCGTCCAATATTTGAACTGGAAGTTAATATAAAAATATGTTAACTGGAAATATATAAACTCACGTGCGCTTACTCGAAACTTCATCACAAGTCTGATTCATTTACTTCATTATTCCGACTGAGCCTCTGTGAATCTTTAAAAGATGCATGGTTGTATAAAATAACAACAAAGTGAATTATAACATATTGCAATCATTGTTCAATCTCAAATGAAAGGTTGTTTATCCCACTTAGAATGTATAGTGTAACTCATAAACAGGACAGGAATTTGACAGTTTGTGTGTGTATTCGTCCAAATATGTCACCGTGCGTGGTGAGACACTTGAAAAATCAAAAGACAACATTTGGTTTCGGTTGAGATTATGAAAAATTACAAACGACTTCACGTCATGAATATAACATAAAAGAAATGGAGAAAAAAAAGAGAAAATGATAGACTATAAAGTTAATGCGCTCGAAGAGGTTTTTTGGATATACCTTTATCTGAAGCACACAAACTTAAACCCAAATGAATAACCATTCACCTGAGGTCAACTTTGCCTGCTGGAGTTGGAACCGTAATTTCTTAATAATTTTTAGGTTTATCAACGGAGAATTTAAGACAAGTATGTTATAATACATAAGTTGATCTCCAAAAAAAATCCACAGCTGAAACATAATGTAATACTTTCTCGAAATTAAATTACCTGGAAATTCCTCATCTTGATTTGGTATGTTGTTTGTAATTTCTGTAAGATTGAGAAATGTAATGACAAAAGCAAAAACACTCAGAAAGAATCAGTAATTAGTAGTACAATAAAACGTAACACACAATAAAGATTGATTTTAGCAGGATATACGTTGTCAATGATTCTTCTGTTTTAATATTGTAGTAAAAAACTTATATGTTTCTACTTAAAATTACTACTTCTATAATGTAAATTGAGTATTATATGTTAATAATAATAGTTCATCAACAACAGTTAATGCGAATACTGATTTATCATTGCATATACAAGCATGCTATGCAGAATAGGACACGATAAATATATATTCTTCATAGCATCTGTGATGAAGAGGGCTTCCAAAAATCATTGCATATATTGATCACTCAACATTTAATAGAAACCTTAGAAAGATGACTGTTTTATAAATAACTCCATTAAACGGTAAAAATCTAAGAGAAAAAAAGCTATACAAAATGCACGCCTTGATATTGGTAATTAACTTTATTGTCGAAATGCGCGTCTGGTGCACCAAAAATGGCGCCTTTAATGTTATTACTACTACTGGGTCAAGACCTCTACCGGTACACTACTAGTCTCTAAGAGTATCACCAGCCCAGGGTTTGTACTTCGGTACTGGCATGAAAATACAGATATTGTTTGAATGAAATTCGTTTTTATAAAATTTTGAAAATGATTTAAAATCAGGAATATATCTCCCTAGTGCAAAAGCTCTTATTCTTGTCCGGATTTGGCTTTACTTTAAGTGCATTTTGGTTTGATCATTCTCGTTTCAATTTTTGTATAAGTTTATTTTTTTTCAAATACTTTGGCCTCGAGCATCGCTTAAGAGACATTTGTTGTCGAAATGCGCATCTGATGCAGTAAAATTGGTACGGTGAATGTTATTAGATATATAATATTATGAAATATATTGTAAATATTATACTTGAAAAATTACCATCTTTGTTCAGAAAAAGAACACTGTTTATAATTCCAAATATCACTCCAAGGCAGACAAACACGAATTGTACTAAAATGATAACAAACTGAATCAGTCCTTATGATTATGCTATAGCAGAACTAATGAACGTTTCAGCGCATCTCATTAAAATGTATAGGGGTTTGGTTGGTATTCTGATTGTTGCTTCACCGTTACATTTACACTATACTAAATGTTTTTTAAAAGTACATGGAGAAAAATCGAGGTAAAATTAGTAATCACAATGTTTTAAATTTAATTTTTGAATTAAGAACAGGACCGAATATCATGCTTAGCTGTAAATGTTATAATTTTGTTTTAACATTCGTAGGTTTTCAATTTTTACTGATAAGTGACGATGCGTTTTGTTCAAGTGGAATTTAAAATACTGAAGATTATAATGGTAAACTTGCGGTAAATGTTGGTGCTTTGATATCACTAAATCTGTTTTCACATCTTCGAATGCTACGCATTGCCAGAAAAATGTTTGTCATGAATTACATAAACGATTGCAATAGTGAAGCAAACAATTGCCTTCTTTTTCGAAGCTTTTAAATTTACTTTAGTTTTTAAGGTATTCATAGTAGTCAACTTTTAGTTTCCGTTTGGTGTTTTGTGTGGTGTTATTTGTACTTTTATCTTTTATCTTTTCTTTGTCATATTCTTGTCCTTTTTGTATGAACATTTTTGATTCTCCCATGGAATGGTCTAACGTTGCTTAGTATTATTACTGTAGGTGACTCATGTTCACTAATTTTCAACTATGCTTTGTATACCAAAATTAATTATAAAATATCAAATACTTACAGGGACACCTTTTCTGGTGCAGCATGTTCGAAAACACCACGAGGGAGAAAAAAGTCACAGTAAATATGATAAAAAATATCCTCTTGCAAACTGAAAGTTAAATTGAAATAAGCGAAGTTATGGATATTTGTTATTGTGTTAATGCTTTAGTAAACAAAAAATAATTTGTAGATATTTACGTCAATTTCAATTTCAAATTCCCTTTTGTCCTGATGTACATGAGATAACGTAATATATTGAATCCCGTACTCTGGTTATGTATGTCTGGGAACTAGTAGTAACTACAAAAAAGACACTAACCGTATAGGAAAGTTTAAGATACGTTAAGAGTCAAATTTAAAAAAAAAATACGAGTTCATAGTTGTCAATGATAATAACCAAGCTGTGTTGGTTTGCTGTTTCAACGACTTTTACACTTTGTTCTTTTTTTTTTATACATATGAATAAACAGGATATGGGAAACGTTAATGAAACAACAACCCAAGAACAGGAAGAAATTACATGAAAAACAAAAGAAGGAACAAACAAAGAAAGAAACAAACAAACCCCAAAAACACTTTTTAGTAAGCTCTTTTAAATTGATTCAAAACTTTCTTTTTAAGCTTAGAGCTTGACATGTTGAATCGATACCTTGTCTATTGTTGGAGACCCGTATATTCAACTCGTTTGGTTTTTGTTTTTTTTTTTTGTGATTTTGGTTACCTTCGCATTGGTGTTTATACCGCCATCTGTTTTTTCCTTTATATATTGCAGTTCAGAATACTTCAGTATAACGATTTGTGGAGATTTACAAACACTCCATAATATAATACACACCTGACAGTTTAGTCTGGTTTCTTATGACCCTTATGATAAGTTTATTCACCATATCTGTAAAAAAATGTACACATCACTTCAAATTTCATGTAATAATATAACGTATACAGGCTTATATGTCAGAGCTGCTGTCAGTGTTCTGAACTTGGATGGACGTGTTAATTGTTTTAAGCATACCAAACGACATCTAATAGAATCATGTGCAAAACAGTGTAGCCGAGACCATTGATTGGCCCTCTAAAATATCCCATTGACTGGGTCAGATTAAGTGAACGTTCGTCTGTAACGCCCACAACTCACGACGTATTTATTATAGACATTTAAACTGTGGGGTCACCAAAGGGTCTCAACGCCTAAATAAAATAATTCGAAAAACTAATCAGGAATAACCTTTGTGTTTTGATTTATATTGAATACTTAAACGTTCTTTACTTGTGTTTTTGTTATGTTTTGATAATGAATTTTTATGATATCGGACGTTCTTTCAGCAAAAAGGATTTAACTGGCTTTAAAAGTTACAATGGATGTGTTGATTATTATCTTTTTTTCGGACGTCAAAGCGATTTAACAATTGCGGTTGTCCAATTATGTCATCTTTTAACTTTTATCTGGTCAAAATTTTATTTTAGAACGAATGCTTGATCAACTTTAAAAAGTGTGCTAACACAAAACATATAGACAAAATATACTTCTTTCCTGTCTTTTTCGTACTTGCAAGTTATTAGACAGTAAAAAGGCTATTTGGATCAAGCCTTGTGAAATTTGCATTTACGTTTTTGAATAGGTACAGTCAAGTTTAGCGATTGATAATTCATTGATAACATTCTGGCGTATCACAAACAAACAACTTGTAACGTCTCATTTCATTGGCCGAAAGATTTAAATACAACAACAATTGTAGTGTGCACGTGAATTGACACAGGTGACCGACAATGGAATGTACTACGTTACTACGAACGTAAAAAACAATGATTTTTGGTCGAAATAATTAAATAAGTATTTTGTGAATTTCAAATAGTGGGGTCGAAATATTATACTAATAATTTGTGTTAAGTAATATTCTTTATGCATGCAGCACTTGTACCATGTGTACCGCACTATGAAAAATATAAGGATAAAATAAAATACATGTGCCGCTTTTATACGGATGAATGTATGAACCACTTTAATTTCTTTCATATTGACGCTAGGTTATTATCCTGACAATGTCGTAGTTACTTATAATAAGGATCTCATAATACTGATCCATTTCAAATTTATGATGGGTTGCACATTCCTCTTTTATTGTTTTCATGCTATAAAACGAAAATAAAGTAGCTAAGCGTTTGGTCATTCAGAAATGACGTGTCATAAACGAGCAAATTGTCCCCGAAAGATCGTATCATGTGTGCACGTGAATATAGATGTACTATGCAATGTACTATCATGGTCACCACGAAATTCAAATGAATTCAGTGAAGGCATGTTGGTGTAAAAAGGTTTGAAATGTTTCATCGGCGAAGATTTTATTTTTGCATGTGTGGAACTAAAAAATAAATAAATACTTGTGAGAAATGTCGTAGTTTGTAAGGAACTATATAAATGTACTGTTTTCGATTTTAATTGGTTGAAAATTTATCCTTTAATTCAGTCATACCGTAAGAATAGAGCTTTGCATAACATTGTTGAACTATCCGCCAAAGTAAAGTGTGGCATGCGTGCGTATTAAAATGAAATACAAAATCATACATGTATGATAAACTTATAAACGAAATATTAAGAAATTAAGGATGACTACTGTAAAAGTATGTACAAAAATGGAGTCACCTTTTATCAATACATTTAGTGAATAACCACACTGTTTAAAACTGATTGTTTTCTATGCAACTATTTAAATATTTACAATATATAATTTTCAACCGAGGATAGCAAAACAGTTAATTATAAATTAAGAAAGTATATCGCTGGAGTTTATAAAGTACATTTCCTTCCACTGTGCCATGGTTTGCCATCTCCATTTTTTCTCTGAACAAAGCATGGCTGGTTACATGTTCTGAATTTACTTAGAATTTCGGGATTTTTTTTTCAAAATCAAGTAAACTAAATCAGAAACAAATCACACTATCCTAAAACTTATGAAAGAATATGAATAATGAACGTGACAGTTTATAACACAAACCCATTTACTATAAAAATCGAGCAATATCTTTAGTATGTAATTTGGTTATTTTTGTAGTTAAGTACGGTTTCATTTCAAGTACAACGTTAATTCATCAAGTCCATTGAATAAAAGATAAGGCAGGGTGAGCAACTTGACAAAAAAAAAGGCAGGATGACGATTTATGTAAAAAAATCGGGATAAACTAATAAATATAGTCAGGACCTAACAGACTGAAAAATAGAAAAACAGGACAGAGATAACAACTAAAAAAAATGCAGGACAAAATGTTTCATCCAAGTCCCCCACCCCCAATCAAAATAAAATGGTAGCTCCCTTAATCAAGAACCAATTGAGAGGAGACAGTTGAATTAAATATTTCGACGTGACTGTTAAGATTAAAGTTTAAAAATTTTCATGCACATGTATAAAAGCTAGAATTGCCATGGGATAATCAAGAACACAATCATGTACGTGAATATGACGATGGAAGTTTTTAACGACCTTGACCGGCTACGTGAATACTGATCAGTCCATTCAGCTTTATAGTACGCGTGTTCTATTTTCGCAGGTGTGAGGTCGAAGGTTTGAATTGACCAATGAAAACGGTCGTTCCTTAACGAGTTAATCTAATAAAGTTTGTTTGACTGATTATGTTGCACGACCTTTCGCTAAGCTTGGCCGCAGTTCAGTATAATGTATAGTTTGATGATCTTTTCTGCTAACTACTATACTTGTGAAAAACCCTTGGCAACAGAAACATATTCAGCTTTTTTTTTAATCGACCCAATTTACATAGTAATGGACGACTTCGTACATTTTATGATCGCAAATAAAATATGTATATAATATACTGTGCACTGTAGTACGTATATATACTGAGACCCTTTGGCAACCCCACAGTTTAAATGTTTATAATAAATACGTCGTGAGTTGTGGGCGTTACAGACGAACGTTCACCTAATCTGACCCAGTCAATGGGATATTTTAGAGGGCCAATCAATGGTCTCGGCTACACTGTTTTGCACATGATTCTATTGTGTCAGAAGATAAAATTGTAAATATGTATGCATATATAATTGGACATCATGCATTCACCATGCATACTTCTAAAATAAGGTGAAACTCATGAAAGTCCTTCAAAATTATGTATTAACCATTGTATCATGTTGTATCATTGCATCAATATACATTGACGATACATTTAATGACGACCAAGCATATACCAATCTTTGAATACAGAAAATTTATATTCCGAGCTACAGTTATAGAACTTTACCATCCGCACGTCGGAAGCTACAAATCCGTACACCTGTTGATATAAGAACCACGCAGATCATCACGAAAGAAAAATAACTTATCATACTCCACAGTAGCGATGACTTGGTACAATCAAAATCTGTGATTAAAAAAAACAAAACAATCATGACTTATCATTATAGAATAGTAGTGTGATTTGAATTTGACAGATTTGTCCTATTCTTATCTTGAATTTTTTACCGGTTCTAGATTTGCATGCATGTGAGATGCATAACCCTGTTAACACAGCCGGTCTTTCTCCGTTCTGGATTACTACGATTCCCATAGACTTTTCTCTTGATCTATATATTAAAAATGGTTTTAAGAGTATTGAACATAGGTGAACAATTATTTTCAAATGTAATTTGCATCTATTGACATGCCAATTTCAAGCCGATTCTTTGGAAATATTCAAAAAAGAAAAAGAAAAAAAAAAAAAAACAGAGGAATCAAAAATTCACGCATTAACATACACAAATTAAGGTTTAAACCCGTTTGTTTACTCACAGATTTTTAATCAAAACATAAAACTTACCAATCTGGCATAAAATATCTTTAGCAGTTTCATTATTTTCGCCTAAAAAGAAGATATTCCTATGCTCAATGTTTTTTTTATTTTCAAATACTGGTATTAAATATTGGCCTTAAGCATAATAAACTAGAAATGTGTCATTTTAGAAAAAATAAACAATTTCAATATATATAAAATCGTTTGATAATTTATGATATAGTACAATAGTGTGTATGCCACGTATAATGTACAGGTTACCAGATAAATGTAATACAAAGATTGTCTAGGTTGTGGTACATATACAGTAAACACTCAAGATACGATCACTTTGATTCTTACACCAACAGGCGTTTGTCAAGACTTATCTATATTTATTCCATTTAATAATATTATGATAAAACATTCATCCAAAAGCCCCAAAATTTGGAAAATTCTTTCAATTCGCTTTCGTATTGGATTCATTTTGTAGAAATGCATTTTCTACCACAGTCGTAAATTTTTGTTTTATAATTAAATTGCCCAACTAAAATGTAAATGGTTGAATTTTATTCCCGAGTTTTGTTTGAAATGTGAACAGTATCTATTGTGAAGAAATGACCATGAACGCAACTACTATATAACCAATTTAAACAGTCTAAAAAGCATGTCATTGGTAGATAAAGAAGATAACTAGCAGCTAAACATGTATCATTGAAATTTTTCTCAAGAATGTTTTTTTTCTTAATGTTAGTTGAAAATACAATCAAACCCTTTATTCTCAAGACAGATACTTCAACCGTAGCAATTTCCTTTCTTGTTCCATGCCTACATGTCCAATTTCCGTTAACACTATAATCTATGTAACCATTTACTTGAAATACAGTTTCATTTGTCGATTTATATTGGATTACACTGCTATTTTTATAGTACGGTTCACAATTGTTTGGCTGGCTTGGTGGTAAACAGTCAGCTTGTAATTTACCATTAGGATCACCAATATAAATGCTCAGGTGTAAATTATCAACTTTACAGGTTAACGTTAAAGTTGTTACGGTAACCTTCCAGGTAAAACATATATCATTCCTACAACTACTGATCACAACTGCAATATTTAAAAAACTGTTTCAGTATTAAGTTTTATAGCATATGAAACATTTTTTCTAAATTTACTTTATTTCGGCATATCATTTGAATAAAAATACTTACTGAACAACACATCTAAAACTACTTCATTTGATATATTATTGATGTTGGTCTTGACATATTTGGTACTTTGTGACAGATTTTTATTGAATATTGAATAACTCCCTCTCAAAGTGTTGATACATATATATGGTTTTCTCCAATCTTTTGACTTTGAATATTCCTCTTTTAAAATAATGAATACAGCACAATATTACTTTTTATATAAAGAAAAACAAAGCAGGAAGAGTCTTGATGAAAGTGTATGGTCTTCTTGTCAGAAACTGAATTTCAGGTATTAAGTATTTTATTACAATCAGTACACATTGAGCTTTAAATTTTAACGATATTAGTGGAAAATAGGCAAGATATGAGTTTATTTATATGACACTTTCAAAGAGTAAAAATAAAACAAAACAAAAGACTTATTGTAATCTTCAATGCATCTTTTGGTGTTATGTCATTTTAAACCAGTAGTTACTTACTGTACTACGGATTCCATGTGAAAATAGTACATACCAATCACTTCACTTGTACTTTGTACTATTGTGTAAAACAAAACTTACATTTCAATGCAAACAAAAATCTTTAGTTAAAAATAATGATATTTGAAGCATAGAAATGGATCTTTCATTTTTATATTTATTGGTTCTATATACAGAAGGAAAAAAAATTGCGCAATCTACTCTCATGTAAGTAATTTTTTACTATGCAAACAATTGGTAGTTGAAACTTTTACATGGGTACCAGAAGTGGTGGGAATTCATGCATACGGAGTGTTCTTATTTGAAATAAAAACCAAACTGGCAATGTTTTTTTTATTAAATGCTCGAGTTTACAAAAAATAATAAGAGAACAATTTGGTGGTCTAGGCGAACTTTTGTCCGTTGTAATTACAAAAAGTAAAATTTATGTTTCATTTTCTCAGAAATATTAAGCTTCATGGATTTTTTAATCACGAAATTATGCAAACATATCCGTGTCGTCGAATTTAAAATAACAATAAATGTCTATTGTTTTCTTTCAATGGATTGCTGTATCAATCACGTATACCCTATATTTAATTATGTTCATGGTGACATTTCTTTTATTTCCATTAAAAAAGAAAACAAATCCCCATAGGCTTCATCAATGAGAGTTTACTTTGAATGTCGTTTGTTTTGCAGAGTTTGGTAAAGATTGTCAACGTTTTATAACATGTTATTATATGACTATAAATTTTCTGTTTTCTCATTGTTTAAAATCATAGGAAATCCTCTTTGATAAAACATTTTATTCCACTGTTTAAACATATTGATAGTTTAATCAATACTTGATTGGTTGAGACTATCCCACGTGTCATTGAACAAATCTTCATATTCCATTCTAAAGATCATATTCCCCTCTGAAATGTCGGGATTACTTCGTGAGTCGTTACGCGCGGTTAATGTACATAACGTTTTGAACTTATTATTCTTCTTAAAATAGCGATAGCAAAAATCATTATCATGTTCAAATTTATTTCAGACGATAAAACAAAAAGACTTATAATTAAATTTTGATCCTTACTGTTTATCAATGGGTATGTCGTGTTTAGTTTGACTTACAAAAACAAGCGGATAAGAAAAAAAATGTATGCAAAATAATATTTAATGTATTGATAGTAAACAAAGCATAGGCAGTGGAATAAAACATTCATTTCCCTTTGCCCCGGGAGATATGAAGATTTGCTCATCCTCGAAAAATCATATTTTCCTCGGGCAGATCCCTCGGGAAATATGAATATTCTTGGGTGAACAAATCTTCATATCTCCCTCCGGCACGGGAAATAAATGTATATTATTCCACTGTTTAAACATATTGATAGTTTAATCAATATTTGATTGGTTGAGACTATCCCACGTGTCATTGAACAAATCTTCATATTCTATTCTGAGGATCATATTCTCCTCTGAAATGTCGGGATTACTTCGTGCGACGTTACGCGCGGTTAATGTACATAACGTTTTGAACTTCTTATTCTTCTTAAAATAGCGATAGCAAAAATCATTATCATGTTCAAATTTATTTCAGACGATAAAACAAAAAGACTTATAATTAAATTTTGATCCTTACTGTTTATCAATGGGTATGTCGTGTTTAGTTTGACTTACAAAAACAAGCGGATAAGAAAAAAAGATGTATGCAAAATAATATTTAATGTATTGATAGTAAACAAAGCATAGGCAGTGGAATAAAACATTCATTTCCCTTTGCCTCGGGAGATATGAAGATTTGCTCACCCTCGAAAAATCATATTTCCCTCGGGCAATGCCCTCGTGAAATATGAATATTCTAGGGGGAACAAATCTTCATATCTCCCTACGGCACAGGAAATAAATGTATAATATTCACCGCGGCAAAAATCACAAGAGGTACATAAGATTTGGAACAGCGTCCGTGTACCTAAATATAGATATTCCAAGGCAACGTCAATGACGTAGGTTTATGACGTCATGTAAATTCCGTTTTTTTTTCTTTTACTTCTCAGTTAGAAAGCAGGTCACGGTTTGACCCCAAGTCTATCAGCAACAATAGTCACGTGACCGTGAAAATTCTGTACAACTACGGATGAGACAAACCTCACTTTTACTCACTAAAATACCACTGTCATAGTAAAAACTTATTGATCAAAATAATCTTGAATATACATAGTTTTAACTCGTCAAAACTTACACATCAACTCAAAGTCCTTTATTCTTTATTTTATCTTCAAACTTGAAGTTTGTGTGAAAATTGTCAAGGCTCCTGATCGAAAAATCTAAATATTTTCGAGGAAACTAAAAATGATGGGCTGAATTTAAATTTACGTTAATAAAGCATCTCATTTAGACAAACACTCGATATGAATATCTAGGCAATACAGTTTTGGAATAGCAAACCTCAAGTTATGTTCAACACGAAGCGGTGGTTTTTTTGCCGATTTGTGCAAGTGGTTATCTCCCCTTGATATCACCAGTCAAAAATAAAAACCCACCAAAATGAATAAAAAGGAGTTTATTTTACAAAAATCAAGAAGGAAATGAAAGAAAGTCGATTAACAACTATGTTATTATAATATTAAGAAGAGATACTTCTCTACTTTTCAGAGAAGGATTACAGGTAAAAATTAAAAGACAAAAAATTGGTAAAAATTAGATCTAGAAACCTAGCTGAATTGATATAAATTAGCCCTGGCTGATGAAATTTACTTTCAGTTTGTAATTTTTTATAATAGGATATGGGATCACTCCTAATGTAACTACTTCTAACAATGTTTAATTCAATAAAACATACTGTATACAATTTAAATAATCTTTCTGAAAAAAAATAGTACTGACGATTTATATTTTATATTTTAATAAAGTGGGACCAAGAGTCACAATTTAGTTTCTTCAAAGTGAAAAAGCCTTTTAACTCAAGCTTATGTTTCTTAGTTGAACAGTACAGTACTGCCTAGAAAATATCATACAGAAAAAGGATAAGTTTACAAAAAAAATGACAAAAATTCTGAAAAGAAAAAAGGCTTAAAATTATAAGTGAAAGTGACATAATTCTGAATTTTAAAATCATTATTATGTAAAATTTAACTATTAGATTAGCTAGCACAGTAGCCCTTGTCCAATTTCTCAGGGTATTTTATAGTCCAAATAATTATGACGTCTTGGAAGGCTATTTTAAACTTTTGCATTTTATAGATTATGAAAGTAAACATTTTGAAAAAAAATTGGGGCTTCTTCTCTTCAGGTTGCTGTATCTGCTGCTCTACATATTTATAATAAAACTAAAGTATTGTATATTTTACCTGAATAATTGGATATTAATCTCAGAAATGAAAGTTGGCATGACAAATCTTGTGCATTTTACTTTAATAATGATCAATGATGATTAAATTTGACAAGATTTTGCCATTTGAATAAATTCAATTTTGTTAGCACACATCTCTATAAATTAATCTCTTGTTTGACTTGAAAAGCTAGTGTTTGCTCTTATTAATGTAGCTTACTTAGTAAAGAGATAATTGATAAGCAAGGTTTTTAACTTATAAAATATAAATACTATACTATTAACTGACCTGCATTTCCTTTTTTCATATGTTTTTTCCTCCAGAAATTGTCTTTGCAATGCATTTTCTATTGCTATTTTTGTGCTTTTGTTTATCCATAGGCCACCATTAATTTGTCATATTTGCTTCCAGTATAAATGAAATTTTCTTAGACCTATAGTTTCAAACGCCATAAAGAAGAACTTTGTTTGTTGTTTCACTTGTCCAATGTGTAAATTTTCACTATGCACATGACCCTGACACATATTTTGTAAACGTTATATATGACGTATGTTAAAAAAGAAAACAATGTCACCGTCAATTTGTGTAGGGGATCAAAAAGGGGTTTAATTACTTTAAAATGGAGATATCGTATGGAATTGTGAAAAACAACAGTTTTTAATCACAATTTCATTCATATCTATAATAAAATCAGTATTTTATAATAGAGTACTTTGGAAACAGGTACAATGAAAAGAAGTTCAACTTTACTGTTTTGAAGTAGAAACGCAGCCAAAACCAGGTACAAATTGACATGACTGGTGGTCACCAAAATTGATGTATAATAGTAAAAAATGATGGCTACATAATTGTGTAGAAATTTGAAATAGGTTACCCGGTTTCATTTAAGATTTTTAACGTTCTATTCCGTATTTGGATACGCAAACGTCAAGTTATATAAATTCGATGTTTTTGGCGAACAAAAAAGATGGCTGATCATTTTTAGAACGGACAGGATAATGTAATAGCAAATAAAAGTTATTTTCGACAATGTTTCAATGTCGTATTGAAACTATATTGTTCCCAAAATCTACAAACTTTAAAAATCAATTATAATAAAAGCATGACAAGTTGAAAAAAATAGTTTAAACGTAGATTTTTTAGCCGATTTATTTCGCGGACTTTTTGACGTCACCGACGACTGTAGCGCCACCTAAATAATTCCCCCTGCTATTGTTGCTGATAGAGCTTGACGACAACGGACGTTTCCAAGAACTTGCTTTCCAACTGTTCTTGTTTTCGGTTTTTTTTTCTCTTCTTCTTGTTTTTTGTTGTATTTTTTTTTAGTAAACTTTATTGAATATTTCAACTTATGAAAATTAGCAACTGCAAAAGCAAATGATATATTTAGTATAAAAACAGGAGCAGTTTTAAAAGTATCTTGATCAAATACTAGAAAATTGGAGTCATATAATAAAACAATTGTTGACTTTTGATTTCAGTTGATACATGTACAATGATTTATCAACGCCAGAGATATGACATTCACCCTCGGCCGTTGGCCTCGGTGAATATCATATCTCTGGGGTTGATAAATCATTGTATCAACCTCATCAAAAGTCAATAATTGTATAATGTATCTGTTTAATTGTTAAGATATATACTCATATAAACATGTTAATATGGAATGGTTGTTTTCTTACCGTTTATGTAAAATAGAACGAGTAGTGTTATTGTTCTTTGAACACCCTTTACCATCTGTGACTAATTATCTATATTGACTGCAAAATATGAGAAAATTCATTATATTCATTATTTATTTTAGTTAGCATCCTTTATAAAGAAAAGTACAGCTTTTCCGGAACATCTGTTCACAACGCAGTAAAAAAAAAATCGGTAATAAAGTAAGCCACATAATAGCTGAACAAAATCATTCAATATTTAAACACGACTTCCGATATATTTGGATATTCAAGACAAAATGTGGATGTAAGTTTTCGTTTGTCCGTTACACACATCCCCATATATCCTTATGTTCATTATAATTTTCATAAGCAAATAATTTCAACACAGGCGTAATTGACGAGAATTTGCTTTGGTTATGGTTCTTTTTGTTTGGATAGCGATCGTTATCAGATATAATATGATTTATCTGTTTATTTCTTGATCTAAATTGTAAGTAGATAAAAAACAATGTCTGTATATCTTTTTTCTTACCTTTAACCGAAAATCAACGAGTACTGTACAGATCTGTAGTTGTTCATTAAATATATGATACCTATTGCCACCTTGAATTCTATCTTGGCCCATGAAATGGCATAATAAACAAAACTAAATGAATAACTTATAGTTATGCATCTTATGAATAAGGCATATCTTCAGCAAAAACGGAAAATTCTCATGAAAACGTTATTTTCCATGACAATTAAAAATATTAACATATATAAGTACATCAATTTATTTTGAAAATAAAAAAAAACCTCATGAATTATTTCTTTACTAAAGTGATTTTTTAGTCTTACACGTGGGCTGGTGAACTAAACCCAACACATTCGTAAATTCATGTTATTTTCACTCTTATGCATTGAGAATCACGTCAAATGGTCATAGTCAAACAGGAATTGCTAACCCTTTGAAAACAACTACGTTTACCCATACTTTGGATGTGTTTTGTAAAGCTCTATCGTTAGTTTTCCATGTAGTAATTTTAGGACAAAATTTAGGTTTTTTTGCATCGTGGTGTTGTTAATCTTTCTTCGATTTATCGTGTGGTACTCTCCTCCGAACATGAAATTAGCGATATCAAAAGGAGCAATAAAACTCTATAGGTCGAAGAGAAAACGTACAACGTCATCGCAAAAAGAAAACAAACATTAGTTCAGAAAATTCTACACAGTGTCGTGTTCTTTCGTTTTCAAAAAAAAAAGGAAAATGTAAAATATTAAAAGCAGCATTTGGGTACTCGATTCCAATGTTCCAATGATGGTCTAACATTTTCTAAGGTATGTATTAATTTGGGATTTTGGCAAATATATTCGTAGAGTAACTGCATGAACTAGAAGTTTATTACAGTTGAAATAATATAGCATGCAAAACAAGAGTTTAAATGCCTTGCTTGCAAACTTTGTTTGGTTGTTTGCTCTGACATTGTAATTAAGAGTGACACCTGAATTCAATGGGTAGGCGGAGTAACAGTCTGTTTACTATAATATATACAAAGGTTTGATTGATCAGTGAATATCAAAATTGTTTCCAGTTAGGCACTTGAAAGAGAAAAAGAAGCATGAACAAAGGGGTACAGGAAAGGTAAAGTTAACTAATTTTAAAATTGATTAAAAATCAAAGTAATGAAGTACTGAACATCGGATGACCGCAAGTTCTTGTGGATGATCAAAAGCACTTGACACAGAAAAAATCACATCTCTATACCTGAAACTGAGGTCAATGTACAAAGATATATTTTTTTCTGAGACAAGTTCGTGCGTGGATGATGAATAAATGACATGAAATTCAACCTCACCGTAATAACTATTATATTGTACTGATACAAATCAGTATATACTGGTTTGTTGTTATATATTATATCAATATAACAGTTATATGTAAATATAATATTCATCCATTTGTATATCATTCTATTCTACTATTCTAATAATAGTGCAGTGCAAGTGCATGGTGGACACTCTTCTGTAAAAATTCGATTTTTCTAAAAGATTGGATATGAGTAGGCATTCATATTTTCCCGCAAAAACAATAACAGAGTTACCGGTCCTTTCCGGGATTGTCTCAAAACGTTCTTGAGATATTCTTCCGCATGCTTTAACACAATTTTTCGGTACGTGTGCATAGATATTATCAATGATTTTTTACTTATATATATATATCTAACGACAAAACATTTTCATATTATTAATTTATGTTCTAAACAAAAATATTTTTATCAGTATTCATTGACGAGATGTATTTATAACAAACGATATGGAATGTTAGTTTGCACTCGTTAATATCGCGTATCTATCAAGTTTATAGATCGGTTACAAACCCAAAACGAAAGTTACGTAATGGAAATCTAGGCGATAGCAATACATCGGAATGCCCTCACGGTCATCGCGATGTAAAAACGTAAAGCATGAGCAGTTTTAATGTCACATTTTAATTCAAATTATAATGTTGACATGAAATATTATTTCTTGTTACTTATTACAGAGACATATAATACATATTACATGTATGTCTCTGCTAATTACGTGACATTTTGTACTTTAATAAACTACTGTATATATTCTACAAGAAACAAAAAAATATTTACCAACTTTTATCTAAAATAAAAATAGTATCACAATCTTATCTGGCAAAATTGTCCTACTTTGAATATTTGCTATTCGTTTTTGGTCCCTTATGATCATAAATCCCCCGACGCGTTTTTCCATCTCCATCCCTGGCTTTCAAATGTTAAGGACTGAGCGTTTTGATGAAGGTAAATCCAGAGAGAGAGAGAAAAAAAAACGATTCGGACGGACGGAAATCATAAAGTGTAAATTTATTTTTGTTCATTGTTGAAGTACGTGATGAACTGTAGTTGTTTACATCATTGTCCGTTTTTTTGTTGTTGTTGGAAATAATACATTGTACGACATCTCCTTATCATTATATTAGCTTGTTGGCCTTGAGATATTGTTTGTATTTATACTTAGTCTACTTGTAACTTTGATTGTAATGTACATGATTCTGATTTTTTTTTTTCAGAAATGTACATGGTCTTTTTCGAACGTATTTATTTGCACGCTCTTATTTTCAGAAATGAAAATGAACAGGTAAAATGAACAGCAATATAAAATATACAAATAAATCCAAAGGAAATGAAACAAGAAAATTAAATCTTATGTCATTCTGATGATTGATTGTGTATACTGTAGTTCGGAATGCGAAAAGGATTCAAAACTTAAAAGTTTCTGATACTAGATTTAGGTTCTTTAGACCGTTAGCAACTGCTGATATGAAATTGGTTATTTCAGTATTTACATTCTGTACAATGATACTGGATAATTCTTCCTGGTTGAATGATAGATCTACAGCTATCGATCATTCTGAGTAGACATGTTCTTATTATCATTAATATGATGCTTTTTTTTTCAAATTCAGCTCGTGTAAAACTGAAACAATTAGAAAATATTAAAAAATAGTAACGCCACGAACTTTTGTCAAACCTGAAAACATTACGATTGCTTACCTTATATGTTTGTTCAAATCATGTCATTGTTCCGACTGGTATAATCGTACGATCGATTTTAAAGTTCTGTATCACATTACAAACTACCCAAGCAAAACAAGCAAAACAAAGTTGTTTCATTAAACGACGGAAGTGGTTAAAATCGTTGCACATGAGCACATCTTAAATACCAACTTGTTTTTGTAGCAACTTTGAGGTTAGTTTTTCCTTACTTGTTTCAAAAATACACTGGTAAATCTGTGTTGTTTAAAATATATGTATATATAACAATCTATTTTATTAATGATAGCTACCTCTTTTAAGCAAATAACATTTTTCTGTATTGTTTACTTTCGTTTTCCTGAATAATGCGTAGCATTTAACAACTAAGAAGTTTTGATTGTCGAAAGAGACACTTTAACTTAAATGTATGTATGCAACAATAAAATGAAGTTGATGTGTTGAAACATTTGTTGCCAGTGAATTTCCTGTCCTTATCGAGCTGTTTTGATTACTTGTTACATAAAATGAATGTAAAATTATTATGAAGTGAATGCTTTCGTAAACATGGATAGTTAAAAAGTATTTATAAAAGTGTTCATAGATATTTTGTATGGACGTTTGAGTTTACTTTGGTCTAAGGCGTACCTAAAGTGAATTATTCAAGACGTACTTATAGATATAAAAGAAGGAGATGTAGTATGATTGCCAATGAGACAACTATCCACCAAAGTTCAAATGAAGTGGATGTATATGATAACCTAAACTTAAATTTAAAGAAATAAAAAAAAATGAAATAATAAAAACTATTAATAGACAGCTCTCTCACATGCAAAAAATCCATAACTGTAGAATATAAGGGCATATATACTACAAGCATGGGGACATTCTACAGCATCCACACAGCACGAGCAACAAATCCTGCAATCAATATAAAAAAATAAGGAGCTTAAAGAGCTCATATTGTAATCGGTACCATAATACTGTGGAATGAAATTTATCAATGTACAAACTTTTTGTATGCAAGAGAATTTCAAGTCCGCTGATTGGATTCGTGTTGAAGGTGTCATTTACTTTAAACAATTAATATATTGAGATCACATACTGTACCATCATTATCTGCTAGGAATGAAGCCATTGATAACTACAAAATATTTAATGGGTATTAATTGTGCTGATAGTTATGTCACCCTGACGGAGGTCGGGTGACATATTGTTATTGTTCCATTATTTTTTTTATTTATACTTATTATTATTATTATTCTAGTTAATTTTTTTTGTTATAGTGACCTTCATCTTAGATACCTTTACCATGTTCACTATGCTTGCTGTAATTGTATTTATTGTACACATGTCGTTTACGTTTAATGGTTTAGGTAAGTTTTACTATACACTTATTGCATATGAAAACCTTCATTCTGAGTAATGATAATATCGAAACTACAAATGTTTAAAACCAAAACAAGAATAACACATTAAATTACACTAGTATAGTTACATGTAACTCGATTTATTGCTGCTTCGTAGTGTAATAAATTTTCTGGGTGATTTAAGCTTTAATTCAATTAAACGGACGATATTTAAAAACAAACGTTTTTTCTGGAAGGTTAATTTAGGTTAAAAGTGTGTGCAGTGTAACATATATTTGTCGAATGTGTTAATCTCTGATTGTTCCATAATAATATGATATTAAGACAACACAGTATTCTATTTTCACTGAAATAAATATAAACATGTAGTCTGTCAGTATACAACCTGTATTCTTTATTACCTTGAACCCGACATATGTGAATGAACATGGGCTTTGCTCATTGTTGAAGGCCGTATGGTGACCTATAGTTGTTAATTTCTGTGTCATTTGGTCTCTGGTGGAGAGTTGTTTCATTGGCAATCATACCACATCTTTTTATTTATTTTTTTTTTATATATTTCATGAATTATCTTAAAAATAAACATGTTTTACTTCTACATATTTGCAGGAAAAAATCTTTCAAAATCCATTTAAGGAAATCAACACTATTTTTCTTAACATATGTTATTCTACGAGTTATACGAACTCTGACTGTTAATTTTATAATTTTGGGTCAATAATAATACAGCTAAAAGTAAATTTCATAAAATTTAATTATGCAAGTGATCAGTGCTTTATTGTTTTATGAAAAAATCTACTTGATTCTACCTTTTTAATTCGAGCAGCTGTGAAACCGCGTGTAATTTTCCTGCCATTCTCTTTAAGCTGTCATTTAAGTAACATTTTGCTACTCTCATAGATCAATTTTATTTTTAAGTGTGCAATTTGTGTTAGGAAACACAATCACAATAATAATTTGTATTGTCTTCTTTACTTCAGGTTCATCAAGTACTTTTCATTCTTGCCTAACATGGACAATTAAAGGATTCAATTTGGAACTCGTATGCAGAGTTAGTAATATATCTTATCCCCTTTATTTTCGTGATACTGAAGGGGAGGTCGTTGGAATATGCACGAAAAACGATTGTCTTTCATTCCATAATTACGGAAGAATTGAAACTAATTTTAAAACTTCTGAGGTTATTATGACTATACAGGAAATTCAACAAAAATATGTGAATGGAATATGGACGTGTATGAATGGGAAACATAAGTTTCAGACAGAGGTTTCTACATTAAAGGGTAATGAATATATATGTTAACATAGATGATTTGTTAAGGTAAACTGACAGGTTATTACGAAAGCCTATTAGGGTCACACAAAAAAAAAATTTATATCTCGTAATTATGTGATAATTATCTCGTAATTACAAGATAAAAAACTTCTTATCTCTTGATAACGGGATAGTTTTCTCGTAATTACGCGATGATTATCTCGTAATTACGAGATAACTATCTCGTAATTACGAGATAACTATCGCGTAATTACGAGATAAAAAATGATTATCTCGAAATTACGCGATAGTTTTCTCGTAATTACGCGATGATTAACTCGTAATTACGAGATAAAAATCTTATCTCGTAATTACGTGATAGTTTTCTCGTAATTACGCGATAATTATCTCGTAATTAAGCGATAGTTTTCTCGTAATTACGCGATAATTTTCTCGTAATTACGCGATAGGTTCTCGTAATTACGAGATAAATATTCTGTTTTTGTTACCCTAATAGGCTTTCGTAGGTTATACCTATTTCAATATTACATATTTTTTTTTGTAACGAGACATCGATTTCGTTGTGTGTTATTTCTGTCTTCAGCAAAGCGACAGACAAGTTATTATTCCTATTCTCCTTTGCCTGAATTGATATACCGCAGATTTTTATTCCTATGTCATAGACCTTTTCAATGACTGTGTACTCCGACAGTTGGCAACGACAATTTTAGTTCATTTGTATGTTTCGGAGTTTAGTGTGGCGTCCATTTCGCCTAACTAGTTTACATTATTGTTAAGGGGCCAACTGAAGCGGGATTTTCTCGCTTCGTTGAAGACCCATTGGTGGCCTATGGATGTTTTCTGCTCTTTTTTTGTTGGGTTGTTGTCTGTTTGACACATTTCCCGTTTTCTTTCTCTTTTCTATATATATGCTACATGTATACTTATCACACCGATATTTTTCTTCTTTTATGGTTGTAAAACTTTTGTTGATAAAAATTCACGTTTATTTTTTGACTGATTATAAGAAATGAGGGGGTGGAAAGGGGGGTACCTTTCTTCTTTCTCCCGCCCCACGTTTCCTTTCTCCCGCCCCCTCTCTCCTTTCTCCCGCCCCTCTGCTTCCATCTTCCACCTTAACAACCGTCTTTTTTCAGATCAATCGATTTTAATACAAATTTGAATTAATATATGACCATATATAGGTGGCTTAGGTCTTTATTAAAGCATATACTGATTTTACGAACAAGGCCTGCCTCCGACTCGTACGCAAATTAATACACAATGTTGGAATGTTGTCAATGGTGCATTGTGCATGCCTCAATGTCAAGAAACTCATTTTTGATATGTATGGTCATGTATGAGGATCATGAAATTAGACATAGTTTTTTAGTGTCATCTCTATTTTTCCCTGTCCTCGAGAACCCCTTACTTTGTATGGTCAAGTGGATAACGTAAATATTTTAAGGTGACCTGGAAAACGCGTTAAGTACATGTAATATTGTTTAGAGGAGGGAGTGTATCTCTCTGACATTGTCAGCATCCCTTCTTTTTAAATTTGTAGAAGAACGCCAAATACTTAGAGGAAACAGATACCCACATGTAAAGGCATAAGACAAGAAAACTAATGAAACCTGTGTACATATATCTGGCCTTAAATATTTGTCTAAGTTTTGCTATAAAATATAATATAATATGTACAGAATTAATAGAAATCCATCAAGTGTCTTGGTTTTTTAATAGTTCTCCCACGTCTCGTCCTTTCACAGCTCAGTACAGTCAGTACAATTTCCTCTTCCTCAAACGTCTCGCTAACTTTTTCATTAATCGTCATTGTATCAGTCTGAAGAGAGCTGGTCAGCCTATTGTAAATCTCCTCATCTAATGTATATACAACCTGACCAGGTAACAAAGGGGGTATTACACTTTCTAATATACAATTAAGTGGTATATCTCTTTGCATGTCTTTATTAAATTCAAGGCCATCATTTTCTTTATACAGAATCGCTTTGCACACTTTGTCAGTTTCAAAAACACGTTCAGTGAGACTTCCGAGAGACAACTGGTCATCCAACATGACCGCCACCAAATCATTTTCATCATAAATATAGTCTATAAACACTGGTCCGGCGGGTTCATTTGAACTTTGCAATTGATCAATTGTGCGTGGTTCTGTAAGTGACGGGTTTTCAGCTGTTTCGTTGATTCTAATGTCGGTAACAGACAGATCTATCGATGCATATTTAGGTGGGATATTGTTTTGGTACATGTTGAGAGGCAGCGTACCTGCATTAAACTTCGTTGTATCGGCTCTTACGCTTCGCTGTCGTACTCTTTTTCCATATCTGTCCCTAAATTCAAACAATAGTTTCACGTCTTCTTTAGAGACACTGGACGGCTTGTCACGTTGAAACTTTGGAAACTGTTCAAGGGATAGATACTGTTTTGGACTCTCATACCCTGACGTTTTCTTTGATGTGAAATAATGATATCCACAAAGCGATACTCTCTTAACACACTCAACGACACCTCTGAGAAAATCCCTTGCACAGTCAAGAACTGATGGTGTTTCTGTTTTTAACCGCAACATACTGTGCAATTGTTCATTAACTAACGTAAGAGCTGAATTAATATCAACTTTCTCCAAGTATTTTGATTCTGTTTTAGAGGCTGGTACGCCATGAGGTCCTTGCAAGCAGTTAATTTTCAAATGTAAAAGTGTCTTGGCTTCAGATGTGCAGTTTTCAAAGAAACTTTCAACGTCTTTCAACTTAGAAATTGACATCCTGATATCATCGCTATGAACACTTCCCAATATTTCGGTATGCACAGAAAATGACTTGTAAATATCACGGAGTACAGACAGATATTTGTGCATTGGTGACAAAGACGTTACAAGTCTGATATTTTTCGATCCAGAGTCTATAACAAACAGAGTGTTGCCTTCAGTACATATTCCTGATGGTTGCGAAAATTGGCAATCTTTACCAAGACCATCCTCATTTCCTTCCTCTCCTTTCCCAGCGAACAAAACAACATCAGGTTGGTTAAGTGATACATTTTCAATGTCTTTGATCTTGTGTATAATGCTCTTTTCCCAACGTCAGAGTATATTAATTCAGTTCCAACTATGGCAATTCCATGTGGTTGGTTGCAGATTTCGGTACCAGTTTTCAGAATCACAGAGACTGTGTTTGAATCCAATTCTAGGCGCAGAATACCAGCTGTATGATCGGCTAAGTACAGATAGTTTGAACAGTAGGCTAATCCAAAACATCCACTCATATCTGGTACACTAATCGAGTATAAACTTGTTCCAAAAAGGTCATAGCCATAGGCAGCAACTTTTCGTTTCACAGAAACCTGCAAGATTAACTTTGTTTTCTGATCTGCTACAAAGAACAAATCTTTGTCAACTTTAACTAGTTTAGTAGGTACAACAGCGTCAATGCCAATGTCAAGAACCCTGACTGTGTCTTTTGTGCCTCTTGGAAGACCTGCCGCCTCTATTCTCCTGTTGATAATTTGTCTGAGGGTTTTCAGATTACAAAAATGGTTTGGGAAATATAAATGTTGCCTTTTTTCAAAGATTTGTCCATTTATTAGAACATTTAGTATCCAGTTTTTTCGTTTTTTTTACCTCTATTTTTTTTTCAACATTAAAGTTCGTCTCCCTTTGATAGTTCTCCCTCCTTTGCTCCCGCCCTTTCTCTCCTTTCTCCCGCCCCCTCTCTCCTTTCTCCCGCCCCCTTTCTCCTTGTCTCCCAATACCCTTTCCACCTACTCAGAAATGGAAGGTCCTCATTATTTTATTTTAGCTTCGGTAATAAAATTGGGAAATTGAAGGGAACAAATCATTTAAGTAGTAAATGTGTAATCAAACAATGTTTTATGTATATTGACAAGGGCGGCGTATGGCTCTGTAACTTCTTTTAATTTTGTCCTCGGATGCCTCCAGAATGTATTCTATACTTTATAGCAATTTAACTTAACAGAACATTTACACACTGCACATGTTTAATATATATTTTGATTATTTTTTTTGAGTTCCAATAGCACAAATTAGACTTTAACAATAATGAGAAAAAGAACAAACATGGACCAAGTCATGAAGAAATATTTTTATATAATCACACAATGCAACAGATCAAACAAACACCCATGTGTGATCTTTAATACGGTTGGATACGTTAAATTGAGAATGGAAATGGGGAATGTGTCAAAGAGACAACAACCCGACAATAGAGCAGACAACAGCCGAAGGCCACCAATGGGTCTTCAATGCAGCGAGAAACTCCCGCACCCGGAGGCGTCCTTCAGCTGGCCCCTAAACAAATATGTATACTAGTTCAGTGATAATGGACGCCATACTAAACTCCAAATTATACACAAGAGACTAAAATTAAAAATGATACAAGACTAACAGAGGTCAGAGGCTCCTGACTTGGGACAGGCGCAAAAATGCGGTTGGGTTATACATGTTTTTTGAGATCTCAACCCTCCCCCTATACCTCTAGCCAATGTAGAAAAAACAAACATACAACAGTACGCACAGTTTAAGAGAAGTCCGAGTCCGATGTCAGAATAGGAAACAAAAGAAAATAAACAAAATGACAATAATACATAAATAACAACAGACTACTATAGCAGTTACTGACATGCCAGCTCCAGACCTCAATTAAACTGATTGAAAGATTATGTCTTCATCATATGAATATCAGGCACAATCCCTCCTGTTAGGGGTTTAGTATTATACCATCATAAAATATATGAGAAGAACATAACCCGTGTCATGCCAACAACTGGTTTTAGAATAAATATGTTTAATTCCGATGCAAAGACCCTATAAGTGAATCAATATTAAAGCCAAAATATGCAATCTTTAATGACCTGACAACAGTATCGTAACTATATCCCTTCTTAATAAGTCTGTTTAAAGGTATTGTTAGCTTTTGAGGTGAATACTGACATTTTTGTGCTTTGTAAAGAATATTACCATAAAAGATTGGATGTGAAATACCCGAACGT